ACTGAGACAGCATTTTGTAATACCAACTGTTGCTTCATGTTATAATGAATATTGCAAAAGTTGGAGCTGAAATGTGGAATCTTACAGAGTGAACTACATGTAGAAAAAAATATGCACTAATATAATCTTAAAACAGACAATATTTATTAGTCTATTTCAGTTTTAAACAGGTATGAAGTTTTCTGTGTTTACAGCACAGGAAATATTATATTACGAGTTTATCTAAAATCTGTCACTACTTATATATTTTCATAATCGCACTTAAAGTAAGATTTCACATCTCAAGTTAAGTGTCAATTGAGAGATATTTTTTCATCCTTTTTTTTACGCTGCTAAATACAGTAATATACGATAGTTGAAGCTCAGGTAAATGGACAGTTTTACCAAGAATGATGTGATGTTCTCAGGTGTAACATGGACAGGGATACTCAAGCAGATAACAATGACACATGATAAATTTGGAAATATAATTTGTTTTTAGTAGACATTTAAATTCTGTTAATTCGTTGAGAGTAAAATGATGGGTAAATAATATAGAAATTTCAATTATCATATTTTTTTTATATGAAATAAATAGCTTACATCTCACGGTACTTATCAGTAAACAAACATAATTTGTTCTTTGGGTTATTGCGTTGTTAATTCTATCTGGAAAAATTTTGTACAATGATTTGCAAATTTGATAACTATAAGTTATGTAGTTTTGCTCAAGTATTCAGTCAGTTTTGAAGATCTCTGTACATGTTGCATTTGTAAGTTTCTATACTTTATAGCAAAACCTCATTATTTCTTTTTTGTCATTAAGGTGGAAACTTGATGGATAATTTAAAAAATTTCAAAGTTTCACACCTCTCTATTTTTTTTGTATCTATTATCATGCAAATAGTAATAAACTCGTAACAATAAATATGATTTCAAGCAAATACCTATTTTAGAAATAGGTATAACCTTCTAGTATGATTTATTGTAAAGATAATATGCCAGTCAGTCTTTATAGGTTAGAATATATTTATTAATGTAGTTTTCAGTCATCGTCTGATGTCGTTGCATTTATTTGAGTTTCTTTAATTACTGAAAGTTAATAATTTGGCAGCCATAATTGGTCAGTGACTTTGGTTAAACAGTACAGGTGAACTTTTCAAATTTTGTTGAGACAATTACAGCATAAATATAGATCGGGAACTATGAAGACACATCTTTATTATTATTATTATTATTATTATTATTATTATTATTATTATTATTATTATTATTATGGGGAAACGTAAAAATACAAAAGGGTCATACAGCACCTTGAGAATGGAAGGTAATGATGTTTGATCCAAGGAAGGAGATAGTAGATTCAATTCCTTGGGCCAAAAGCCCTTTACTATAAGGACAGTACAAGTCTATGTATAATAATAGGATGAAATTTAAACTATTTTGGAATACATTCTCGTTAATTTCACACATATCAGATTTTTTTTTATGTGGATTAGAGTTTAAAATAAATTATTTGTTTCCTTAAAATTCATTTTATTAAATTTGTCTATTATCCACGTTTGCTTTAATGCATATGAGAAGTAAATTCGAAGTAAATACAATAAAATAAATAAATGCAGTACTGTACTTTGATATTGCATATAATAATTTATATTTTAGAAAATTATTTCGTATTTCCCACTTTTCAGATACTGTATTTATTTTTTTTTCATGATAGTGCAATAATAAGTATAAAATTGCAATGAAAGAATTTAACAGTTAGATGAATTTATAGATATTTTAGCTGCCAATATATGATTGTGAAAGCTACAGAGGATCGATGCTTAACAAAACATTTCCACAGTAGTAATTATTTATATAATTGTATCAAACTGTTATTTGTAGTAATAACGCAACAACAGACTGTCAGTCTAATATTTCATTAAAATTCCAACAGTGAAATTAAAATTAGTTATTTTTTTTTATTAATTTCTATTTTACAAAAGAAACTCTAATATCCAATATTACATTCCAACTAAGACCTAGAAGTAACCAGCCAAGAGCTATGCCACATCTTAGTTACTTATCACTTTAACATTAATACAGTATAAAGAACCTCATAAACCAACACGTCAATTTACCATTAATACAGTTCAAATAACCCGGTTAATCAACGTAACATTGCCCCTTAATTTAACATTAAAAGAGTTCGAGGGACCTTAGCAATCATTATACCATTGCAATAGTCTCGACAGTCTAAACAGCATTACAATAACTATGTTAAAATTTATATTTAAACACTAAGCTTACTGATATTAGTTTATTGGTATCACTGCGATCTATAGGCAAACTGTAACAAGTTATAAGGTATTAAAGATCTGGAAACTTAGCAGTCTTTTATGTTTTTAGTTTTTGGATTTGTATCACAAACAAAACGAGCTAAAATTGAAGCAAGTTTAGTGTAATTATTGGTGCTCATAGTCTAATTAACAGTAGTGGTTGAAACTATCATATTTTTATAATTACTGTTTAAAATTAC